CTGCTGACATACCAAGCACTTAGATACAAAGTCGGCTATATCTCTCTTCATCCCATTCCACCAGAATCGGGGTCGCATAGTTTGGTACATTTTTGTACTTCCTGGATGCATGGCGAACCTTGAACTATGGGACTCTGTCATGATGTCTCTTTTTAATTCATTGTCGTCTGGGACACACATTCTGTCCTTGAAACGAATCAATCCGTCGGCAGAGATCTGAAATTCTGAGTTCACTCCCTGTTCTGCATCCTTCTTGCGGTTTACTAGGGCGGGGTCGATTGACTGGGCTTCCTTTATTCTTTGGATTAACTCGGGTTGGACTGCTAGGTGACTCAAACATGTGGCCCTCTTCAGATCTTGCAGTCGAACCTGCTGCGTAGCCCCAATGGACCTGCATTCCGAAACCATCAGATGGGCTAGGGTGCCTGCACTCTTCCTACTGAGGGCATCGGCTACTACGTTGCCCTTACCTGGATGGTATAGGATGTCACAATCATAGTCCTTGAGGAGTTCCATCCACCTTCTCTGACGCATGTTGAGATCCTTCTGAGTGAAGATGTGCTTCAAACTCTTATGATCGGTGTAGATCTGAAAGGTCTCTCCATACAAATAATGGCGCCAGATTTTCAAGGCGTGTATGATTGCGGCAAGCTCCAAGTCATGGGTAGGATAGTTCTTCTCATGATTCTTTAGCTGTCTAGACCCATATGCTATAACCTTTCCATGCTGCATCAGGACACAACCCAGGCCCAGATAGGAGGCATCACTATAAACTGTATACCCTCCTGATCCACTCGGTAGAGCCAGCACGGGTGCAGTAGTCAGTCGCTTCTTCAATTCTGAAAAACTCCTTTCGCAGTTCTCATTCCAATCAAACTTTGCATTCTTCTTTGTGAGTCGGGTTAGAGGGGCCGCTAGACTGGAGAACCCTTCGACAAACCGGCGGTAATAACCCGCAATCCCTAGGAAACTGCGAATTTCCTTAACTGTTGTCAGCCTTTTCCAACCAAGTACCGCTTCAACCTTTTCGGGGTTCACCGACACCCCTTCCTTCGATATAACATGTCCTAGAAGGCGGTTTGCTCGAGCCAAAATCCACACTTGCTCAACTTTGCATACACTTCTTTTCCCTGAGTACCTGGAGGACTTGAGCAAGATGATGAGTATGTTCTTCTCTACTTTTTGAGTAGACTAAGATATCATCGATGAACACGATGACAAATTTATCCAAGAACTCTCTGAA